CCACACGGGCCCAATCATCGTCCAATAACCTAGCTCATAGTTCTCTCTAAAGCTGTTTCATCAAAAAGAGACTAGAGGTTATAAACTAGAGGTAAGCTAAGGAAGAGAGATATAAAAGAGTTGGAACGGCCCGTAATCTGATCAGAGATCTTAAGATTTGTAGGTACCCCCTATTACTTGATTGGTCTTGGATTTGTCATTCGTACCTTCGGGTTATAATACTTCTCCTAATCTGAGCTTTATATTCGAGGGAAACCACAATCATGCAGACGAAAGGGGGAAAGGAAAATCCTAGGGTGAAATTGCCTGAGTCACAATCACTCGAAGAACGAGAGGCCGCTAAATTTATTGAAGGACAGACAGAAGCCCCGATGTAAGAATCCGTCGTTTCCCACCAACGTGACCTCAACTGTTTGGCGGCTTGCTATCCTTCCCAAGGTTCCTATAGTAACTTAGTAAGCTAACTAGGACTACAGAGCCTTTATTATTCTTTCAACAACCTTACGCAGCGTCTCAGGATTCATTATAAGGCAGTAAGTTATTAAACTATATTTTATAGAAGCGCTTGAAATGAACGGCACCGAATGGAACAATGTTCTTCTATCTTCTTTAGGAAGAGAACTTGGATGGTGAGATTTCATCAGCCACTGCTCTAACATTTACCCATTAGACCAAAAGGTCATAACCAAGTCAATTCATGGTTGTAGTAGTATATATATGAAGGTGTCCATAACCAAAGACCCTAAATTTGCTGAGAGCCTAGAGCGCAGTTTCTATAAGAATTTGGCGAGAGGAGAGCGAGATTTGAAAATTAACCTTGCAAGTGACATATCAATGTTCCTCCCACTCAGCCTCAGAAATATCTAATCAGATGTTTAGCATTTTTGGTTAATGGCCTTATTGGTGCGGAATAGGATAGTAGACCTGGCAGTGACCCTCCGGGTGGTCCATGATCTTGGACCCTCCACCTGCCCCTCCGAGGGTCGCTCGCGGGTGACCCTCCACGACCCGCAGCGACCCTCCAATGCATGAATCTATAGCACTAAGCTTAATTAGGATGTATAAATCTGCTTGTATAATTGGAAATGCATAGGTAATCCTTTACATAAAATTTATTTTTATCACAAAATTGCCTGTTTGTATTGTTTGACAACCCCCAGGGTCACCCGCGGGTCACTGCCAGGTCTATACGATAGTGACTACGCCGGCTGTCGGAAAATAGAGTAACTACTACGCACAGCATATCGGGAGTCCCAATTATTCGATACGACGGACTTTTAGTCAAAAATGGAGACACATGAAGCAACGCCACACCGTCATTCCAGAGTTCGATACGTATATATGCTAGTCGCGGTGCCATTGAACCACTATGCAAAAGACCTATTCAAGTCACTGTGCCCTTGAATTGGAGGCCCCAATTAGACTCTTGTCTACGAAGGAAAATGAATCCAGGCGATTAAGAGCTTCTAAATACATTCCTAGAAGCTGCGCTTGATGTTTCTATATATGGAAAGATACCTATGGCATATTTAATAGGGCTAGAAATGGACAACGGTATTATTCTCCCGACGGACGAATTGCAGGAAGTCATCCAAATCATTATTCCTCGGCGTACCGACAACGAAAACGGCAGGTTTCCCGTACGGTGCCGGGACGCGTGCTGTCTGGCCATTGTGGTACTTCTTGCCAGACCAAACGTGGGTGAAAGTCTGGTTCTTGCCGGGGAAGTAGACATTCACGCTAGTACGGCCGGGGTCAAGCACCGGTGCGACGTATAAATCCGAGCCAAGGTAGAAGCTTTGGTAGCTGATAGCCTTGGCGACCTTGTCATCTGGGTGGTAGACGACGGGCATGCGGAGCAAAGGCCAGCCCAGATTCTTACTTTCAGTTTCCAAGATGCGGCGGCGATATTTAGCAAGACTGGCAAACATGCGTGCATTGTAACCGAAGTAAGAGTAGGTAGTGGCGTTGTTGTAGAACTGCGCGTTGACCTGTGGGACGTTACCCTCGTGGGTACGGAAGACTACACTGGAAACGGCAGCGAGTTCGCCCCAGCGGCCGAGCAATTCGGAAGAGCGGTTCACGATGCCGTTGCTATTCCAGGTAGTCGTGTATCCACCAATCTCCATGTGGCCGTGGGCATAGCCTGACAGACCCATGTGGCCCATGACGGTCACAGAAGCCTTGATACCATCGTTGACGCCCCAGTTTGTGTTCTGGTCGCCTGCCCAGTATAGATTCATGTGTCTGTTTGCGGCCATAGAGGATGAACGATGGAACAGGATGGCGTCGGAGAATGAAGACACATTCTTTCCAATCCACTGGTGGAGAGCAGCCCACTCGCGGGGATAGGCGCTGTGATAGAAGAACGGATCAATGCTCTTGTTGGCGAACTGAGTATCGGGGTATACAGGGGTGTATTCGCCGAAGTCCGTCATGAATCCAGATATATTGGCACTCCAGACTTGGCCCAGCATGACCTCCTTGAACCAGGATCGTCCAGCAGGGTTGGTGAGATCCAGGATACCAGCTTCAAGGCCGGGCCCGCTGGAAATCACGGAGGTGCTATTGGTAGTGGAGTTTTGGATCACGTAACGAGCCCGGCTGGCCTCGTCATAAAGGTTCGTGTGATAACCAGTAGGCTTCGTGCTGACATTTGTCAAGAATGGGTTGATGTACGCCAGAGTGCGGACATTGTGCTTATCCCGCAGAGACTGGACAAACTGCTTCCAGGTCGGGTAAAGTACAGTGTCAGATTCCCAGTTCCACCAAAGACGAGATACATTCAGTGACATGTAGGACACGCTCTGCGAGTGTGTACCCGACCAATCCTGGAGCCAGACTGCAGCAATGGGACACTTGAGGCTAAGCCCATGGTCCACAATCCGGTTCACCTTGTTTTGCCCGCCTTGAATAGCAAGCACGGCACCTGTATCAACCCACTCGGGCAACGCGACCATCTTGCCGGTGTAATCGGTAAGCATGGTAATACCGCCAAGCATGCTCTCGGCTTGCATGAAGTAGCCATCCACGGTTAGGGCGTCATATCGCACAGTGACAGCATTAGGATCGGTGAAGTTGAATGTAGTATAGGCAGAGCTCTCTTGTGTCAGATGGAAAACACGAGATCTCGAGCTAATGTACTGCGGGATTGCAGTGTATGTTGTGAACTTGTTACCGCCAGCGAAGAAGCTGTCCCCGTTTTGTAGACGAGTCGTGGGCTGGTCACCGCGACCGACACCTTGCTCGCGCGAGAATATGGGGACAGTCTGGTTTTTGAAAGAGGCGAATGATCCCTGAGCACCAAGTCCGTAGAAATCTTCCGATGGCGATGAGCGATATGTTAGGAACAGCTTGGTTGCCGCATTCGGAGAGGTCTCAGGGTCGATGTTAACATTGAAAGCGACACGATCGGGGAATTGCGAGGGGACCCAGAAAGCAATAGAGAAATGAGGCGTAGCATCACCACATCCGGTGAGCTGACCCTGAATGACCGCAGCATGGTCATTCTCACTGCCGTGCCATGGCTGAAGAACAACATGACTTATTTTCTGCCCGATACATTTGTGCTGGTCTACTTCGTTGATCTTGAAGTTACCATTAGCGGTGATTACCTCGTCATCTCCTGCGCTCGCACTGAGAAATGGCTGGCCTGCCACAGTCTCCCAAATGGATCTCCCACGCTGGGTAATGGAGAGGCGGTTCATATTCTCATCGAGCGTGAGCTCAAATCCACTTCCTAGATTCCATGGGGCATGGACCGCGACACACGGAGCTGCGAGAGAGGCCCAAAGCCAAAGGCTAGGTATGCGCATTGTGGGATGAGATTTTGATAGGAGCAAAAAGCAATCCACGGGGTGACCCTCTAGCTTATAAAAATTTGCAGTCTCCGCCGCCTAGGTATCGTGGTCAGCGAAGTCTTTCGATGACATCTGTGGCCATGTGTGTCCCACTTGGTGCAATTGTAGCAGTTGTTATCCATCGGTATCTATAGTTTTGAGCCAATTAGCGTGATATCATCCATATTTATAATGACGATCGACTAATTTCATAACCTTTGTTGGTTATGCGAAAGGCTGACGGAGAAATAGGCTCCATAGTCGATAATCCGTCGGCTCATCGGGTAGCGCCCTCACGCGAACGGGGCAGTTGCATCTTGAAAGAAATTCCCTGATACACCCATCTTGGGATCAATCGACAATGGGATTCGCCTCGGCCATCTGAGAGCTCAGTCAACCAAGTCTGCCGTTCTGCACACTGCGAGAGAGGTACGGGTGGCTGGTAGAGGTTTTGGTCCCGCGGTAGCCGATCTCTGGGGGGAAGTGGGGCCGACTCCACATGTGGTGATATACAGTGAAATACGCTATTCATTCAAAAACAATTGCTCATCCGCCGATCCAGTCAGAATGCTGAAATGGTGACAAAATCTCGAGTCTTTTAAGGTTCGCTTCCTCGGCCTTCCAATGGCAATATTCCCCGAGAGAATTTTCCTATCAGTTTGCCTTCAGGCTTCCAATCATGTCTATGCGATGTCAGACGGAAATCCTCTATCTGTAACCCCCCGCAACAAACGGAGTTGCAAACGATGCAATGAGAGGAAGGTGCGATGTGATCGAAATATCCCTTGCAGTTCATGCATGACGGGCGGGGATCTGTGTACCTTTCCAGGACCTAAGCGTACACCACGGACTCTTAATAGGCCCCCGGTAGGCGAGCTTCTTGCTCGCTTGACAGTGTTAGAAACAGAAGTGGAACGACTCCAATCTTTGAGGAACCTTGAATTGGATCAAAATGAACAGCAATCTAGCAGGTCATCCAGCTTCACGGTAGATCAAAATCCTTAGTCACTACATTTCAATTTAGGCCTCTTTGGTCTGCATCATGGTGGATTACCTGGACAAAGCACCGGCCCCTGGTCCTAGAATCCATTTCAGCAACAATATCTTCACCCTTCGCATATCAAAGCTTTTTGGCCGATATACCAGGACAATGTTGCTCCAATGATTGCTATTCTTCACCTGGCCACCACCGCCCAGTTAGTTGAGGATGCCTCAGATGGCTTAAGCCTTGATCCTGCCAGCGAAGCACTTCTGCTCTCGATTTGTTTTGCTGCTGTGGTTAGTACAAAACCAGAGCAACTACACTCGGGACTAGGGCTGGATTATCAATCCACAGTGCGACATTATGAAGAGGCGGTAAACCAGGCACTGAACCGAGCGGACTTCGTCAAATCCGCAGAGATTCTCGCTCTCCAGGCTGCGGTACTATATCTTCTCTGCAAGCGTGTACATGGGGATGAAATGATTGTGTGGGCTCAGTCCGCTGTGCTTATTCGTCTTGCACAAATGCAAGGCGTTCATCGCGATGGGATGAAAATCGGCCTGTCGCCGTTCGAGACGGAGATCCGTCGACGTATTTGGTGGCATATATGCATATTGGACATGCTCTGCTCAGAAGACCAAGGCGTAGATATGCAGATTAGACCCGGAGCATTCGATACCAATTTCCCAACAAATGTTGACGGGGATGACCTTGAATCGGACATGATCGAGCTTCCGCCTGAGAAAAAGGGCTTCACCGACATCACACTCTGCATTATAAGTTGTTTTATGATTAACGACGTACACTTATCCACAAGACCCTTAGGTTCAGTCCCCTCCATGAAAGATCGAGAACATTAGATCAAGTCTGTGGGTGAAACTATCCATGAACGATTCCTCAAACATTTCAACCTCGGGATTCCAATTCATTGGGTATTCGCCACAATCGCTCGCCTTTACTTATCGAGGGCATGGATCTCGGCGCTTAAACAGCTTGCATCTTCGGATTGGCGCGAATTGCAATCAGAATACAAAGAGTCAGTTTTTCGGACTGCCGTTGAAATCGTCGAGTTTGCATATTTCTTACAGACCAATGAAGTCACCACACAATGGAGCTGGCTATGTAGAAGTTACAAGCAGAAGGAGATAATTGCGTATATTCTTGATGAATTAAACACTCGCCCACTGGGCTTTGAAGCGGATCGTGCCTGGAACGTGGTGGTCAAAACAACTTCTCTGTGGAAACAAGGTCCCCCGGCCACACATCGTGAGCCTGAGAATCCTTTACTTGAGTTGGTCCAGCGTGCTAAGGAGTTACGAGAAGCGAAAATCGAAGCTCAAAGAAAATTAAGATGAGAATCTACTGAATGAAATAGATCATGAATATGAGATACAATGTGTAGAATTATATTAAAGTGAAGAACTTCGCAAGAATCTAAGACGAAGCAAGTGTACCTATCTACATATGCCAGAACTAGCATATGATAGGACATATGATTTAGGGAGCAAAATCCCATGCGAGGCGGACAAAACAGCCTCACTCAGGTTTACAATAGGTACTTTACTTATAGGTATTTAGTCGATCTGGTTGGTCTGCGGAAAGGTAGGGCTACCCTCACTTAGGATTTTGGTCTTACCTAGACCCGGCAGTGACCCTCCACCTCCGGGTGGTCCATGATCTTGGACCCTCCATTGTGAACTCTATATGCTCCCAGGACCTAATTAGTCTAAACATGTAGATAGCTTCTTTTCTCTCTCTACGTATCCCAATATTATGATCTAGATATTTACTACTTCTTTATAAATCATCTATCCTTAGGTTATGAGTACCTCGGTTCTGTAGAAAATAGCTTCAGAGCATTTTTTACACCTACCAGTCTTCTATAATGGACAAAGGGAAGCAGTAAAACTGCAAGGTGGATATCTCGCCCGGCAACGTTGACAGCTTTATCATTCATCTGCTTTACATAGTAAGTCTAAGTACACTAGCAGTAGAACTGTTCGTGCTTTATACATCCTTGAGCTCATACCCCGTCCTGGTCGTGGATATTAAGTCTTAATTGCCTTGCACTCAACATATGTCCCATCTTTGTTCATTCTGATCTAAAGCGATGTTTACGTCCTCTATAATCTTACTTCCTTCCTGGTCGCTTCTTTCTCACTTCTTGCTCCCCTACAAGTTAGTTCTTACCTACCAGGAGCACCTTCTATGCCAGCTACCTCGGGTGTCTAGGTAACCCATCGCTACCGTAGATACATTAGTGCCTGCCTCATCTGTAGTATAACTATCCTTTGTTGATCCTGCTGTCTTACTTCTCTTCTTTTCTTCTCTCAGCTATTTCAAAAATACTGCTCAGTTCCAGTATATGACACGGCGACACTTCTTTTTTTCTTTTATCAAAGGCCTTCCGTAGTTGTTGCACACACATGGATACCTCGCAGTGAGTTATGTAATCGGATTTAATGATTTCATGCATTACTGACTGAATTTCCAGGGCTGGCGAGCAGACCCTCGATAGGGCACAAGGTATGTCCCCTCCCGTTGGTCCTCATGCTGACATTGTTACAGATGGATCTACCTCTGCCGAGGGGTCCAATTCTGCCTCCCCGACCGATGCCCAGGCGCTGTCAGTTACTACTAGTTAGCAGTACTAGTGGTACTGTTAGTACTAGTGGTACTGTTAGTACTAGTGGTACTGTCAGCTCGACGGCACAGTCGTATCACATCACCGAGGACCTGATTCCGCTGGTCCAGACAACGAACGAGACTCTCGAGCGAACCCGGTTGATTGTTAATCATGAGCCGACCGACAATGACGAGGACTTGATGGACACAATCGGTGAGGGCTACGATCTCGTTGATGCGACAGAGGATTTGAAGAGGACCGTCCGGTCGCAGGAATTCTACCTTCGCTACGGCGACCATATGGGGCAGGTATGGAAGTGCCTCGAACTTGCTTCCCGTCGTGTCCACCAAGGCCATTGGCCAGCCGGAGTCATCGCTGTTGGGAAGGTTCTCAAGCTGGAGGAGGAGCTCGGGGGAGGGAAAGCCTCGGAGAAGCTGGCGGGGGTGTTGCAGCATCTCGAGGGGCTTGGGATCCAGATCAGCAGTGATGTGGCCAAGGCGGCAATTATGGGATATGCGATACGCAACAAGATCTGCCATGGAGGTCCCGGTCGACTCGACGACAAGCAGACTCGCGATGCAATCGCGAGCAATGTGAACGACCTGGAGAAGTTTCTACCCGACGATCAGAGAGCGGATCGCGATCTCTGGGTGCGAATTGTCAAGTTGTGGAAGAAGTGCTGCAGATACGTGGAGGATGTGCGAAAGTCGGCTCCGGAGACGACGCCAACCCCGGATTCATCTAGTCTACTCGCCGCACCGCCCCGTACCGCCGAGTAGAAGGAGAAGTTCACACGAGCCTTGGAGAAAGGCTCGTTCCAGGGCGAGCTGGATCAGCTGAGCCGAGAAGAAGGGCCCTGCAGACAAGACTCACCTCATCGCACGCAGTCGACGAAGTCCGACCCATTTCACGGTGTTCCTAGTAAGCGGAAGACGGACTTGACTCCCGCGCCGTCCTCCCTTCGCCCTTTGAAGCGACAGAAGTGAAGGCTACCCGGCAGAGGTTTCGGGTTGGGGGGATGGGGGATGGGGCTGGCTGGCATTGGTTGGTTGGGAGGGGCTGGCTGGTCGGCGTTTGTTGTCCGATTCTTCATGTAAATAGTTTGTATATATGTAGCGTAGAGTATATAGAGTAGGTAGAACCCTGGTGACGAGCTTACACCTCAACGTGGTGCCGGGGTCTAGTAGTCCTCCATGGGCGAAGCCAAGATGAGCTCATTCTTGACAGCGAATTTGATCTTTCTTTTTTGAACTTCTAAAGTCACTATCCATAGTTCTGCATGGTATGCCTCATGATCTCATCTACCAGCCAGTAATATCTTGAACAAGTTGAGTCCCAGGGTCCAGTATCGATCTGACCTCCCAGTCGACAGAGGCATTTCTCTTCGTCGTTCATTATTGGTGAAATATAGACGTCGTCTACCCTGGATTCGGAGCCTGCTCAGTCAGTATATCTTCTCGCAACTTTATTCGGGAAACCAGATGAGCCTGATTGATCATCCACTCGTTTAGTTTGCTTAGATTACTTACTCTCCTTTCTGAGTCGCAATAGAGGGATTTTGTTGGTGCTGACTCGGGCACCAAATGAATCTCAGTTTGGAAAGACATCACTCTTCGCTTTTAACTTATACCTATAGTTTTAAAAGTTGTTAGAATATCTAATTAAATATATAAAATTCCGTAATTCTTTAGTCGATAAAATACAGAAATGTTCTGCTGACAAAATAGGATATGGCGCACTGGCTATACGCTGCCGTAGACAGGCCGGGGTGATGGGTGTATTACGTGTAAGCTGTGACATCCATGGATGTGAAGAAGGCTTTTTCCCCTACTAAACTATTTTGAGTATGAGGCTTCTGGACCAAGATTTGAAGGCCCGGGCCGCAACCCTTTCAAGTAATTTTGAGTCATAGCAGGACTACATTTGATGTGTTGAGAGTGATAACCTAGCTGCCTACAAATCACCTGAATTTCAATATCGGCTCCAAAGCTTTTCATTAAACTTGAATATCACTCCTATTACAACCTTGCAACCACTCTGGATACGAAGGTCAGTAATTATTGCCTTGGATATGTGGGTGTGGTAGCTAAGAAATTTCCCAGGTTCTCATCTTCACATCTCTAATTTACACAATCAACAAAACGCCATGGAACGTGCCGAGGACAAATCTACGCCTCAACATCCCGGCGTTGGTCAACTGGGAACATTCGCAAAGCTCCCACTTGAACTTCGTTGGACGATATGGGAATCTGTCTTTGATGAAATACATTCCACCCCTTTTGCTTTAGCTATCTTGTGTTGCAGTCGATACCTCTATCAAGAGATATCAGACCATCTTTTTGAGGACTTCGAGCACGAGTTTCAAATTACGGGCGGGCTGAGATTCAATTTTACTACTAGGCGGACACACAGCCACGGATGGGAATTGAAGAATATTGAAGCTGTTCGCAACCATCTTCACACCTTTCCTTGGAGAAAAGCCGGGGGTAAAATGTTTGTCAACATTTCCCCTCCCTCTCAAGAAGATCCTGGTCAAATCATGCAAATTTGGCAGAAGGTCAAACAACTCATCGATACATTAAAGACAACGCATTCTGCTCCTTCGGTATGGGCGAGCCTACTAGAGGATTGGTCTAGGGATGGGAAACCACAAGAGAGTATTATATATACCAACGGACATCGCCCCGATCATGATATTGCGATCATGCCTTTCACATGCCTTTCAAATTGGCACTATCGAATAACACCAGCCTATTCTGCTACGGTAGCGACCGAACGAGAGTTACCAGAAAAGTCTCAATCGCTGCTATACAAATATGGGAAGGACTCTATATCAAACGGCTGGTGTCTGATTACCACTGCACCTAAAAATTGGCTCACCGATACCCGAATCTTTCTTGACAGAAAGCTCGATGACATCCCTGGGCGAACGGCTGGGGCTCTTCGCCTGGAACGATTTCAAAACTGGTTCAAGGGTAACTGGGTGTCGGAATACGAAAAGCAATTCACTGAGGATCTTCAGAAACACCTCTATATTGTTCTAAGGCATGACATGGCATTACGTGGCGCCATAAGAAGACACAAGTTGTTGATCTTGCTTCACCATGCCTATCGTGCCTCACAGGATGACCAAGAGAAAGTGGAGACTGCTTTGGATGAAGGAAGCCCTGTGATTTATAAGCGTTGGAATCCTCAAGTCTGGTCGGACTACTACGGAGATTGTATGCCGAGCCTTAACTACCGGTTAATCGATGATAGGATGGACCGAAGATATCGGTCTTGTATATATCGGGGTTATAGGAAACGCACGGTGTTTGGGATGATTTTAGCTGGAGCACTACAGCCATGATTACAGCGATTGAAACTAAATCTAAAGAAGCTGTTTGCCATGTTATAAATCTTAGATTAAGTAGGAAAGTGCCCCTGTAAATTCCCACGCCTAGGGCTTAATTACTGGATTAGTGTAACGGATAAAGGTCTGTATAACGTGGAGACAAAGACTAATGTGATTCAGAGAATGATCGTATGGTTTGTGTAGACTGGGTATGCTAGTAGCTAAATACTATAGAATACAGGGGGCAAAGTGCCCTATGTGTGCAAGTACGGACCCTCTTAGGTCCGTGCGGGTCTATATAGGCACTAGTTATTTGTATAGATTATGTCACAGAAAGACTTCTAGGATCATATCCTTACCTGCTAAGTAGACCTTGCTAACTCCTATAGGACTAGAAAAATTTTGGTCCCATATCCTGGTCCCATCACTCCTATAGGACTAGCCAAAATTTTAGTCCTATTACTATAGTAGTCCTATAGTATACATATTTTTACTAAGCATTGTTACCAGCCAGTTCTTTTAAAAAGAAGAGTATATTTTAACTAAAATACTGAGTATAGAGAAGAAAAGGAAAGAAAGAAGAAAGAATCGAGTCCCTAAAGCCTTTTATAGGCTTTAGCAAACAACAATAACAAACTATATAAACTTTCCACTCCTTCTATCCTAATTCGGAACCCTAACCAAAGTCGGGATTCAGCAGTAGAATCCTTCTAACCGCGGTCAAAGATTCTTTCATAATCAGTTTCTAACCAGGGTCAGAAATTCCTACTAGGTAGAAGCTAGTAGTGCTTATTACAAAGCGTCTTAGACTGTGACACTATATATACTCTACTAATCTCTACTATATATCCTAAATATTAACATAGTATAGATAATGTCTTCACACAAGTCTCCTTTAATCTTTAGATTAAACAAGGACTATTTGTATATTGTACCCCGCATATTGCTATTCTTCACGCCCATACAAAAGCAGCTCTAGAAGTCAGATCATCAACCAAGATAAGGCAAAATTGCGATGCGCATCGAAACCTGAGGGTCGCCACGTTAGGCCTTCAAAGGAAGATGATACTAATATCCTGGTCACTAGGCATCGGTTTCGGGGGTGGATCAACGCCTTCCGTTTTCAGCCAGCAGTGATTGTTCATGAAATCAAGAGCGTGACACAGAGGCTCTTGAACACAGCTATCAAAGCATGCCTGATAGGATGGCACATCGAATTCCCTCAGAGTAGGTGTAGCAACATCTGAACAGATTAGTTAGTACGGAATCACACAATTCGCTGGGCATTGCAGGACGTACGAATACCACAGAACTGCTTATATTTCCGACCATTACACTGGAAAATCTTTGCATGGGCGGAAGGACCTGAAGAGTATGTTAGAATGCCCAATCTGAAAAAAAAAAAAAAAACCTCAACGGCGTCTTACACTGTGGGTTACACTCAACAGGGTCTTCGGGCTCTGGCTCCGGCTCTTCGAAGCAACAACAGCCACGACCGAGGCCACTTCTCGATCCCGAGCCCTGGCCAAAACGAGCACCAGCGACCCCAGATCCCTGTCCTACCAGTCCCTGAGCATGTGTCGAGGGAATCTCAGCCAGAAGCTGAGCACCGCACAAAAAAAGTAGATTCAGGAGTTTGACCATTTTGGACGAGATGCGGTTGCGGGAAGGTAGGCTTGCTGTGATAGTTCTCTCTTAAATAAAGGGGGCGTAGCTCACATACTTGGAAGGATTGTGGGGGGAGATCTACTGTAGGCTACGGATATCGCCGAGTCCGTGAGCTAGCATAACTATCGATTTGATGCATATGCATGTTTCTGTGTTACCAGACCCTGCAAGATGCATGTATCAGGCTTGAGTGGATATAACCAATGGCCTAGATAATTGGTATTAGCCTCCAGGTCACAATTACCAGGCAGTAATGAAGCCAGGTATCGTCAAGTGTTGTTGAACCATCCTATCTCTCGCTTGCAGACCGAGCAGCTTGTTTGGGAAGCTTGTTTGCAGGTTATAAATCCCCTACTCTTTGCTAGATTAATGAATGATGATTCTTCTTCCTCTCCCACCCCTTGCCAGTAGCCACAATACCTGTAAGAGTAAAAGTTAAATATGTTTGTACTGGCTACGGCAGGGCATCTGTATTCTTTTCGAAGCAAGGTATTCTCTGTGAGGGAATTATCTTAGCCATGCAGCTTGTGTGATGATCAATGATTCGGGGAAAGATTAAACTAAAGAGAAGACGAGCAATTACTCTAAGAGAGGTTCGTCTTTTTGTATCATATGTCGATTGAGATGCAGTAATTGGGAGAAAGTACAATCTGTGGATAAAACTAATTGGAATGACATAGCAAATTATATATCAACCGAAAGGGCGGGACACAACACTCCAACATTCTTCAAGATCACAATAAACAGCCATACGGGAAGAACTGTAATGTTGACCAAAGATTACCTCCAAAGAGGCACGAAGGCTGCCGTACAGTCAGCATGGCTCACGACCGAAGAGCCAGCGGGCATCAAATGACATCCGCCATTTTGCAACCAATTTGCTCCCACGTAGTGATCAGCTTCCAGCAGGTAAAGGTGCATGCACTGCTCATGAGTCTGCGCTTCAGGCTTGGAGACAGCGGAGTCTGCTGGGCCTATATAGCATCGGTTACATTGCATGCGGAATGGGTGGTTGGCAACATGAACAATCTGGTTGTCAGTGCATTGACTCGGGTCGGGCTTTGGTTGCTGTGCGCCACACGATTTCTTACCGCACCCCTCGCATGCGCCAGAACAACCGACGGAATGAGCAGCGGCAAAGCGGGGGGCTGCGATAGTTGGCGGGCTGTCGTTGTTGCTCAAATAGCACACCTGCTTGTTTTGATCGAAGTCAACACTGCTGCATGAAGGGGATCCCGCGCAGTGATCCATGCAGTCTTCAAGTGTCGAGACTGACTCAACGTTGAGATACGGTGTGCCATGGCGCATTCCACAGCTCATGTAGAAAGTCTAAATCAAATGTCAGCTCTGAGGATAATCTGTGCGGTTAATCAGTAGTGTCCTACCTCACCAAAGGGGCTGACGTAGATCTGGCCATTAGCCTCGGGACAGGCAGTAGCGCATCGGCGAGTTATCAATGTGGGCTGCTTTGTAGCCGGAGGGGAAGTCGGGAAGGCATAAAGCTGGCTGCCGTGAGAGGTTTGAGAAAAGGAACCGAAGTCGAGGAGGTTGCAATATAGGGTGGAAGGCTCGAACGAGACACTGCAAAGGTTAGCTAAAAGGACACCTATCCGTGGTCTCAAGCGTAGACCAAGGAAAAGGATTGACCCACGTTTCGCAGTTTGCCACATCAGCGCATTTCTTCAGGCATTCCTCCATACTCGATACCTGTGGAGTACCGACAGATAACGCATTAGATGAGCCCTGCGTGCAGCACTGAAGGTAGTACCAGCTGCCATCAACTGTTTCGTAGATACTGCCATCACCTGTATTGCATTAGGGACTGAGCTATACCCACGAGGATCAGGATGCACTTACTCGCAGGACAGGAGATGCTAGTGGTGACCGGTGGGGATTGATTGTATGGCTTCCGCGGGTTAGGACAGGCCGAGGCTCCAGGGGGGGTGCCACCGCTGCCGGGCTGGATACCACCACTGCCAGGCTGGATGCCACCGCTGCCAGGCTGGATGCCACCGCTGCCAGGCTGGATGCCACCACTGCCAGGTTGGATACCACCGCTGCCGGGCTGGATGCCACCGCTGCCGGGTTGGATGCCACCGCTGCCAGGTTGGATGCCACCGCTGCCGGGCTGGATGCCACCACTGCCAGGTTGGATGCCACCGCTGCCGGGCTGGATGCCACCGCTGCCGGGCTGGATGCCACCGCTGCCGGGCTGGATGCCACCGCTGCCGGGCTGGATGCCACCGCTGCCAGGTTGGATGCCACCGCTGCCGGGCTGGATGCCACCACTGCCAGGTTGGATACCACCGCTGCCGGGCTGAATGCCACCGCTGCCGGGCTGGATACCACCGCTGCCAGGCTGGATACCACCGCTGCCAGGCTGAATGCCACCGCTGCCAGGCTGGATACCACCGCTGCCAGGCTGAATGCCACCGCTGCCAGGCTGGATACCACCGCTGCCAGGCTGGATACCACCGCTGCCAGGTTGGATACCACCAGCAGGAGGGGTAGCCGGGCTAACAGGCCTAGCAGGCCTAGGGCCAGGCGTAATCTGGGCATTCGCAAGCCCAAGGAAGGCTGCGACAATCAACAGAAAAGTAGTGTCGGGCTTCATCGTCTCCTAATTGACGAAATCAAGTAATTTTCGAAGATTATGGAAAGTTAACAAGGTAGGAGGTAAGAGGCAGGAAAATATTTATAGAAAGGGTCGATTTCCAAGGGGATATACCAACTTTCTCTGGCACTCCTGAGTATAAAGGTATGATGTATTGTCTATTACAACTAAACTATTATTGACACATAAATTCAATAGTTGTTACCGTATGGATACCCCGGCTTCAGCTCTATGCAGGATAGGAATGACTTTCTGTTTCAGTTCGCAGACTTTCATGCACGATCAGGCAAGGTATTTTGCGCTCAGCTTAGCCACCACTGTTGTTCAAGAGCCAAACAAAATTTGAGGACAAATCTATGATGTAGGCCAATGCATATATTGAGCCTAGAAAACGCCCTAACATGCACGAAAGTGATATGTATCACATGAAGCTTTGTTTTTGTCAGAGGAATCAATCGGACAGACAGATCGTTTGCATGACCCACTATTCAGCTGGGTGTTGTACAATGTGAGGATGAGTGGAAATATTGGGAGACGAAAATGAATAAGGGAAGACTTAAGGGGTATAGCAGCACCTAATCCCAGATCTAAACGTATAAAGAGACCGCCCGGCCTCGCCAATCATCCACTATCCACTACAGCCCTATACCCTATATTTTGTTCGACCTCCAAGCCAACAAAGGTATCCTTGTATCCTCTCTGACTATGATCATTTCAACTCATATCAAGTATAGTGATAGCCACGTCTAGCAGACCTTCAAAATGCAAATCGCCGGTCTGAAACTTGTTCTCCTGGCATCCCTTCTCGGGCAGTCGGACGCCTTACTCTTTAAGTGGACCAGAATTTCCCCCAACCACTGTGCTATGCTGCCGTTTACCTTTGGATTCCCCGATCCCGGATGTCCTGGTGGTGCGGCACTCCCGGCGGCAGCTCCCCCAGCGCCAGACCCAAAGGCTGTCGCTGCCGCCTACTGCAATAGCATTGCAGCTGGTGCCATTGCCGTATTCCGAGCCGATGATAGCCACTATGGCTGCTTCAATGACCCGTGCCAGGAGACCTTCCCTGGCAGCAACGAAATCAATGGTGTATGCAGATAGGGCGGATGGAGGTTAGGGTCAAACGGCAAATTTTGCGTTGTTATTATTGGATTATATTGCTTTTTTTTTTGCACTTATACTGTCTTTTTTGAATCCATATATGTTTTGCTTTTGAAACTTCCTTTTGTAAATTTAAATAATTATCCCAGTTCAGTGATTTATCCAAAATCACCAATTCGCCAGAGTTGGGGTCAGTTGAAGTCATAGGATTTTCCCCAGGATCTCAGATATGCAGAGATCTATATTGTACAGTGTGTTGTTGCATATGCAGTTCGCTCCCGATCTATCCCTCCCCCCCCCGTGCCTGTGGGGAATTCCCTTGCATTACCCTTGCAGTATTTGACTCGTCAGATTTGATGAATACCCTATAATTGCTTATTTTGTCACATCTATGTGTAACCCTGGCATATTCAGGTACGCAGATAATGGAACTTGGTTTTGCTTTTGTCAGTTTCACAGGAACTAGTCCATATTAGACAATATGTGACAAAATAGAAGGGTTTCTGTAAACAGCCATCAGTTTTAGGTATTTCCCAGTGTCCCCTGAAAATTCCTTTCCCTTCTCCTTTCTCTCAAAACAACTCTTCCTTCTATCCTATATCCATTTTTGTCAACCATGGCCGTCAACACAATCGAACGATTTCATGTTACGATCCCTCTCTCAGTACAATTCGAGTCCAATGCCCAGGGTGTCCATGTCGTAGGCGTATCTATGCCAGACGAACGCATATCTATCACCGGTATAGATGATCAGCCCTCAATCACACAAACAAATTTCGAGCCTGATGACAAGGTATGGCCAGATGGACTGCAAGACCTAGGTCTCATTGCGGCGAATGAGTCTCTCGCTTGTCCGGATTTCTCTCATATCGAGTATTTCACACTACACGAAGATCCTCTCATCATCTATATCCCCAAATTTGTTTCTCCAGATGAGATTGCCCACTTGCTAGAGACTACGTATGCTCCTCCTCTCAAAACTAAACAATGGAGATTTTAATAATGATTTTACAGGAAAGAAACCTTCACTCCATCTGTGGTTTACCGACAGGGAGTAAGTAGCAGCGACGAGAACTTCCGAAAGTCAGAGAATGCATGGCCTCCACGGGACGAGGTTCTGCAATGTATCGAACAGAGGGCAATCCGCTATCAGAACTCACAGTCTAAGCTGTTGATGGAACAACTGTCTCTCCAACTTTACCGCGAGAACGGTTTCTTTTCTTATCACCATGACCAGTTCGATTCGCCACCCAATCGTCTTAACCGCTATTCCACCTACAATGTCTTCTTGCAAGGCGACTGTACGGGCGGTGGCACCCACTTCCCTTTGATCCCTCGACCGACAGAAAGTGCGTGGTGTAACTACATCGACTGTGAATCAACTCAACCAGGTGTTATTTTCAAGCCAATTGCCGGCAGCGCAGTCTACTGGGTCAATATCCGTGAGAATGGACTCGGATATCGGGAAACACTTCATGCGGGTATGCCTGTAACCTCGGGGACTAAGATTGGGATGAACATTTGGAGCTGGAAGGATACGAGAGACGTTAACCAGGAAACTTTCCATGTACAATAATTCACCAGCAAGCCCTGCCAGGTGAAGGTCTATCTACCTTTTTTTTTCGGGATACCTTGGATCCTTTTACTTCGGCTCCATTCGAATGGTAATTTGAATATTCAATTTGCTTCACCAAATTGAAACTTTGTATCTATTGAATAACAAGTGCAGATCATTCTCATTAGACAACTTGGCCATTTGAAACCTTACCCGGGGATATCCTAGCTTTCACAAGTTCTATCCTCGGGTACTCCTTAATTTTGCTTTGTAGTGATTCCAAGGAAGCAGCCAGTATGCAGAATATCTATGAAGGGGGAGATGCATGCAGTTGGTCTACTGGAACACAAAGCACAAAGCCATGATCGTTACGGCAGTTAAATCTAAAAATATTACTATATTTCTCTCCGTATATATTACGATAATTAGAAACTTTTGTCATATATCGTACATGCATGTATAGGCGCTGCAGTGCGATCCCAGATGTGTAGGTCCCATTGACCATTCATAATCCAATTATGTGAGTTATCAAGCACCCACCGACTATTTTGTTACATGTCATGAACATATAACATCTGGTTTTTGAAATAACACTAATGCGGTCGCCTCAGCCCCTTACTTCATACATCTTTCTTCAACTAGGGAATGAACAAGGCTGAGCTGAGAGGTGTGGAGCTCCGAGAATCAATATGAGCGATCGATAGCTGGAACTGATCGGAGTGACCGAGGAGTCTAAGATTCCGGGCTGGTGAATATAAAGGCATCCTTTGGACCAGCATTTTTTAGGTGCAAGTAGCCTTCAGTCAATAACTATGGCGTTTCTAAAGTTATCCACAAGCGCACTTGTTCTTCTCAATCTCTACCTTGCTCAGCCAACCGATGCTAGAAGCTGTGATGGCACACAGGGAGCAACGTTAAAGACCAACCAAGCTGTCATCAGAGGTGTCCCCCAATGTCCTGAAAGTAAGTAATGTCACAGATGTGAATTCCAATAATCAGCAGACCTAACATCTTTTAGACGACGGTGATATCATTGAGACCAGTGATGGTGCCTACTACAACTTCCAGTGTTGTATGCACGAGGCTACGGGATCGACGTTCATCAAAACCGTTCGGACGACAGGGTATGATGATTGTATCAACCAATGCACCTTGACAGACGATTGCCAAGCGTAAGTACTTTGCACACAAGAAATATATAGATATATCTACTTTTACCTGACAATCGTTACTATCAGATTCCGCTACGTCTTCGGTGACTACAACGGCGAAAGCGCTGGGGATTGTAGACTTTACGGAAGTGGCGTTTTCTCAGACAAGAAGTGCGGAAACACGCTACACGACTGGGCCTACCTAACCGATCCTCCGGTGATCGAGGTCCCGGAGAATGTGCGGGCAGCATGCTCAACTGAGTGCCCCGATGCAGATGGTCAAATATACACCGCCAAAAACAAACAGGTGAATGTTTTCGAGGTCAGGATAAAGCGATGAATAATTGCTAACAATATTGTTAGGTGTTCCATTTGGATTGTCAAAAGCGCCATGGAACTGCTTGGTTCCACAAGCTGGATTCCAACTCCCTGAAGGAATGCACAGAGTCCTGCGCTTCGGTCATCGGATGCCAGAGTGTCGACTACCATAAACGGACCAAGAAGTGCTTCCTCGGCAAGCGCACCTCAAAGCCAACTCTCGACGCCCCCGGATGGGCAACTGCTTATTCTCTTGGTTGCTCGGGAGGATGCACTCAGGACTCGTGTGGTGAGACGTGTGGCTCAGCTGCTCCTCCAACCAATATCACTCCCCCACCGGAACAGGAACAAGAGCCTATTGTCCCCGCCAACCCTTCCACGCCTCCTGCGCCTAGGGAGGTAAAGTGCTATGATGACGACAACTCGCAAGTCGACGTAGATGGTACAAAGTACGAGATTCGGTGTGACAAGCAGTACCGTGAGGACAGTCGGCACGTTGCATCTGGTATCTCCTACACCGAGTGCATCAACCTGTGCAGCGCAGACTCCACCTGCAACTCAGTTGATTACTGGGACCCTAATGGTGGAAGGTCATGCTACCTTTTCAGCGGTACTGGAGAGCCAACCCACTCAACCAATATGAACTGGGCCGCCTTCAAGGTTTGATGAGCTGATGAACTATTAATGGCCATGTGCCTTAGTCTCTCATTTAGGTAAGGTGGATGCTTTAGGTTGGAGGAAAGGCGATAGGGGTTGTTGTCTGATCGAGACAGGAGAAACAAAACAAATAGTCAGAGTGATAGGAAATCATACAACGCACTACTTGTTTGGCTCGTTTGAACATGTTCACAATATTATGGCCTTCATTTAGAGACGATGGCCTGTATAAGATGTACAAGACGTGGTTCATTAGGCTGATTCATATACCTAGTCCAACGACTCATCAATGAGTGTAGTAATGAGCTTATAGACCGATACTGGTCATCGGCTACATATATAAAGCTACTCGGAACCACCTCGACATCTTCATCCTCCCAGGCTTTACCTCCACGCCATTCACGCAGCTGCGTAAGCTCTTACACACCTCGTGGTAGCCCAATCTCAACATCTTCCAAGAGCTCCCTCCTCCAGCGTATCCCCCCACTGGATAGTATCATTATTCCCATGACCCAACTATGGCTTTTTGGTCTCACCCTAAGCCCCGCATATGCCAGGGTCAGTATCACTTCCCTCCTCATCCTGGGGCGAGCAAGATTCTTCTCCCTGAAGTCTTCCACCATCACTATGATATATGCATACTTTTCTTTTTTTGTTCTTTTCAATATAAGGTTTTGTTCAGTCGGACCAGTGCCTAGCTTTCTAATGTACTTTCCTTATTACGGTGCCTGTGACGCTCTTACCCATATCTCTGAAATAGATTTCATCCTAAAAGCCATGGATATAGCCCTAATTTATCTCTATCAAGAAAAGTACAGTTTAATTATAAGTTTAATTTTACAGAACTTAAGGCCGACTCTCAAGAAAGCTTAATTCTCTAATAATAGTCTATATATATATCCCTCGAATCCATTTCTCTTCATCTTACTTCTCACTTCTTTATCTATTTGCTCTTACTATAAGGTTCTCCTACTATCAGGTATATATTAAGTCTACTTCAAGTATACCTTAACTAGCCATTACCATAGAGTATATTATATACTCGATCAACCACTAGAGATATACTATAGCCACCTACAATTACTTCGAGCCCTTTTAACACCAATCACTAAAGGCTATATATAGCATAGCTAGGCCTTGACAAGTCACGCGGTACCAAGCCAATTTTGGTAACGTTGCTCGGTATCGCGGGGTACCGCGTGACTTTATAGGTTTTGGTACTGTTACTCAGTCTCGGTACCGCATAGTGCTGCGGTACTAACGGTAGTCTCTACATAGTACCGTTCCTATATAATTTACTAAGATACTACCTATTTAGGTTATATAAAATGCTATATAAGTCGATAAAATACTATTCTTTACAAGTATATAAGCTATATCTAGATTCTAGACCTAAGTCTTTTATCTTTATAATTAGGATTTAGTGACTATTTACTAATATAAATATTTAAAACTACCTATTTTTGCTTTAAAAAAGTACCTAGAGGTATAATTATTAATATATATTATTATTACTTTCTTTTCTATATTTATATTATTCTTTATATCTAGTGTTTAGGTATATAGATCGTTCTTTAGACTAAGTTAAGCAATGATAATATATCAATATATATATCTAGAACGTTTCTAGGGTTTTATGCTTCTACTATATTTTACACTATATTAAGCTTCTATACTTTAGACTATATACTATATCTTAATTTATACTTATAATATAAAGTTATTTAATACTACTAGGTAAGTATAATTTCTAACCGCGGTTAAAGACTAGGATAAATATAATTTCTAACCGTAGTTAGAAATCAAGTCTTTAACTAAGGTTAGAAAGCTAGTCTTTAACCGAGGTTAAAATATAGAATTATTTAATAATAACTTAGCTAAAACCTTCTACCTCTAGACTAGGGGACTAGTATAGACCCTAAAAATTCCTATTCCTATAATACTAAAGAAGGTACTACATTACTCCCGCGGTACTCCGGTAGGGTATATATAAGAATATAAAAGAACTACCTAATTAAGATATATTAATACTATATAGCTTAAGATCTATTATATTCCCCTTTATATCTACTAGTTAAAAACCAGTGTATATGGTACCCTCTATAGAATGATTTTCTCTGTTTTTATATTTTTTATTTATGCCCCCTTTTATTCTGAATTGACATGTGAAATCTGTTTATTTTTGTCTATTTTATTAAATTTGTGGTGGGATGTTAAAGTTTTCGAACTGTATTAGATGGTTTAGTCCGAAATTCCTAATTGGGTTAGCGTTTAGTCCGAAATTCCTAATGAGGAATAGACTGAAAATAATAACTGTATTTTCGACTAAGCTCTTCTCCTATATTTCCGACCAAACTATACTTCTACCTTTTTAATAATACTAATCTCTTATTTTAATTAATAATATATATTTTTAATAATTAAAATAGATAACCTAGCTATGATTTCTTACTTTAATTATAGATTTAGGGTCGAAATGTAGTAGTTTCCTATAGCTTAAGAAGTTGAAGGTCTATAGTCTAAAATGTATAAGGCTTTAGTCAAAAATATACAAGAAGAGCTTAGTCGAAAATATAGATATATTTTCGTATATTTCCGACTATACCCTTCTCCTATATTTTCGACTAAACTATACTTCTACCTTTTTACTAATATTAACCTCTTCTTTTAATTAATAATATATCCTCTTAATAATTAAAATAGTTAACCTAGCTATAATTTCTTACTTTAATTATAGATTTAGGGTCGAAATATAGTAGTTTACTATAGTTTAAGAAGTTTAAGGCCGATAGTCTAATATATATAAGAAGGACTTAGTCGAAAATATACGAGAAGAGCTTAGTTAAAAATATAGATATATTCTTATACATTTTCGACTATACCTTTCTCCCACATTTTTAATTAAGGCTTTCTCCTATATTTTCTACTAGTTAAAAACCAGTGTATATGGTACCCTCTATAGAATAATATTAACTATTTTTATATTTTTCATTTATACCCCCTTTTATTCTGAACTAACATGTGAAATCTGTTTATTTTTGTCTATTTTATTAAATTTATGGTAGGATATTAAAGTTTTCGAACTATATTAGATAGTTTAGTCCGAAATTCCTAATTAAGTTAGCGTTTAATCCGAAATTCCTAATAAGGAATAGACTGAAAATAATAACTACATTTTCGACCAAACTCTTCTTATATATTTTCGACTAAGCTTTTCTCCTACATTTCTAACCAAACTATACTTCTACCTTTTTGACAATACTAACCTCTTATTTTAATTAATAATATATCTTCTTAATAATTAAAATAGATAACCTAGCTATGATTTCTTACTTTAATTATAGATTTAGGGTTAAAATATAGTAGTTTCCTATAGCTTAAGAAGTTAAAGATCTATAGTCTAAAATATATAAGAAAGCCTTAGTCAAAAATATATAAAAAGAGCTTAGTTAAAAATACAGATATATTCTCGTATATTTCCGACTATACCTTTCTCCTATATTTTTAACTATACCCTTCTCCTATATTTTCGACTATACCTTTCTCCTACATTTTCGACTATACTACACTTCTACCTTTTTAATAATACTAATCTCTTATTTTAATTAATAATATATCTTCTTAATAATTAAAATAAATAACCTAGCTATAATTTCTTACTTTAATTATAGATTTAAGGTTAAAATATAGTAGTTTCCTATAGTTTAAGAAGTTAAAGACCGATAGTCTAAAATATATAAGAAAGCCTTAGTCAAAAATATATAAAAAGAGCTTAGTTAAAAATACAAACATATTCTCCTATATTTCTAACTATACCCTTCTCCCACATTTTTAACTATACCCTTCTCCTATATTTTCGACTATACCCTTCTCCTATATTTTCGACCATACTATACTTCTACCTTTTTAATAATACTAACCTCTTATTTTAATTAATAATATATCTTCTTAATAATTAAAATAGATAACCTAGCTATAATTTCTTACTTTAATTATAGATTTAAGGTCGAAATATAGTAGTTTCCTATAGTTTAAGAAGTTAAAGGCCGATAGTCTAAAATATATAACAAAGCCTTAGTCGAAAATACACAAGAAAAGCTTAGTCGAAAATGCAGATATATTCTCCTACATTTCTAACCATACCCTTCTCCTATATTTTCGACTATATTATACTTATAACTATATATATAATATATCCTAATTAATACTCTTTTTTACTAAATATTAAAGTCTTTCTATAGCTTCTAACTATAGTTAGAGATTATTAACTAGATAGTAAGAAGGGGTCGAAATACTATACTTATATATATATATATATATATATATATATATATTATACTACTATACTATATTTCTAACTATAGTTAGAAAATCTAGCTAAAATATACTATAAGGTATATAGTATTCTACACTCTCTAATATCTTTATAGTAATATATTATATAATATTTACAAATCTTACCTTATATATTAAATTCCTAAGCTTCTATACTAATTCCTCTATAGTACTTATATCTATCAGGTTACTATCCTCTATATCTTTAGTACTAGTAGCTAGGCCACTTACTTTAGTACTAGTAGGTTCCGTAATACTAAAGGGATACTAGAACTCTATATACTAGATACTATTAATAATAAACTCTAGGATTATTAGCTAACCTAGCTCTTACTAGTAGAAGTAGGAATCCTCCCTAAACGCCTACTTTTTAACCACTATAAGGTTTTTAAACGCCTTCTAGTATAGCTACTAGGTATTATATCGCTAGCCCTAGATATAGCCTTACGCTACCTTATTACTCTCCCTAAATAAGATATCTAACTCCCTCTATATATTAATAGTATCCTACCGCGTTTAGTTAATAAGCGTATCTAACACTATACCTAAGCATCCTAGCTATATAGTTATAGGAAAGATATAATCTATCTAGCTACCGAACGCGCTATTTAGTAGACTAGATAATATCTTAGTACCTAAGTTAAAATCCTAATAGTAGCGTAAGAGGTTATCCT